GTGGCGGGTGGCCTCGTTGCCCTACGGCATTTTGTGGCGGATGGCCTCGTTGCCCTACGGCATTTTGTGGCGGGTGGCCTCGTTTGCTAGCTCTTTCGACCTCGTTGCCCATACGGGCTTTTGTTCCTTACCACCAAATATCCTTTCGCCTCGTAGTATCCTCCATTTCTGTACGAAACGAGTGAATATGATCCCCTGGGTCTGTGGTTCCATCGTACATAGTCATCTTCGGGGCCCTCTAGGGCTTCTTCGCCGCCTGTTGGTATGGGCTGGTCTAAGTAGTCGATTGATGGCCGTACGGGTGCCCTATCACTTCCCTGTGTATTTCTGTCCGTTAGTGATAATATTCGCTCTTGCAGTTGCCTCTGATTGTTTTGCAACTCCGTGATAATCAAAAGGAGTCGATCCTTCCTTCCATTTTGCGGTTTGCGAAATGCTCTTCTACATCTCATTTGTTCGTTCCTGTGTTGCTCGGGTGACCTTGACCTTGATCGACTTTGTCTCAACCAACGTATAGACACATTATCCCTTGGCGTTGGTTTGTCAACAGGCCAAGGATTTTCCCACGCTTGCAGTTGAGGACAGTAAGGCGCCTCTTCAATGTTTTCCTCCACACGCATCGGTTCCTCTAAAATGTGATTTTCAGTTGGGACCGGTGGTTGTTGATCTTCTCCGTTCGCCTCCACCGCCGTTGTGATTCCTAAATTCAGAAGGTTGCGTGTTCGATTCATGTCAGGTTCACCACTGATCAGGTCCCTTTGGGAAGGTGACTGATCTTCTCTATTCCCGTATAATCACCAGTATCTTACAAGTAAATTCTAAGTATATTACAAGTAAATCTCCCCCCTTTACACTTCATCCCTAGGGGTATTTATACAATTTCCTACCGGACTTTAGACCCTGCACTTTCGGACTAGGATCCGACCTAACGGACCCGACATACTTGGGGTGCAACCTTTGGAGAGTTAACCGCTCGGGCTGACGGGTCCGCCCGATCGGCCTGGTCGGGCGAGTGCCCGTGAGGCGACTTGGGCCTTCCTCTTTCGTTCACTTCGTTGGGCCTTGCTTCTGGACTCCTTTGTGGGCCTGGGCTGATGAATTGGGGGTACCATCAGAGAAGATATTATTTATGTCAGTCTTTCATTCGCTACGACTTCCCAATGGATATTGTTCCAACATTTCTAGAAACGTTAAAATGAAAGAGAGAAAATTTATCGGATTGAAAAGTCATGATGGTCACGTTATAATGCAACAGTTACTTCCTATTACATTACGTAAATCGACAAAACCTGTAGTGACTTCGGTTCTCGTTGAACTTTGCAGATATTTTCACGATATTTGTTCGAAGGTGATCGATGTCAAACATATGGAACGATGAGAGAAAAGAATTATCATTACATTATGCAATCATGAGAAAATCTTTCCCTCAGGTTTTTTTACTGTAATGATTCATCTTACGGTCCATCTAGCAACCGAAGTAAAAATAGCTGGACCGGTACAATATCGATGGATGTATCCCATAAAGAGGTCTAATACAATTATAATTAATTATAAATTCATTTATAATTTAAATATCTTTAATATAATATCATGATGATTGTAAATATATTTTTTTTCCAGTAAAAATGACTCAACTACTTGCAATCGTCGAACGATATAAACGACTCGAGTAACTAAACTGAATTTAACGTAGTTTTTACAAAAACATAGATTATTAATGTCGTGTTTTTGCTTGTTTCCGTTGCGGAGTCAACGGTCATCATTTTCATGACTGTCCAAAAATATAGTCGAGAAATCTTCAAACAATGAAAACCGGTCAAGTTTTAGTGTTAGGATACAAAGCTAAAGTGTTGAATGATTGTAGAGGCACACATTCATTCAAAATCGAATACAACTCTTCTCACGACGACTTCGAAGATTTGTTGTGTATGATAATAAAGAATGTAAATTACAATAGGAAAAATGTTTGGTTATTGTGTGTCTAGGTATGGGTGTCTAGGTATGTATTTAAATTAACTAATTTTATTTTGAAATTGTAATATTTCAGATTGTATTTACGATTTTTGTTCTGATCGGTGTTATCACACCGTTTTTAGCACTAGCGATGGTTACACCCGTCACTCTTTTGAAAAGTCTAGCAGTAGTGGTTAGTTTATTTTTAATAATTTAAATATTATTATGATTTTCTTAAATATTAAATATGTAAATTAGATGTGGGGCCATCCACATCTAATGTGCCTCCAAAGAAGAAGGGTCGTGGTCGCACGAAAGACCACCCCCATAACCATCCAGAAGCAGGTACAAAATGGAAGGTTATGTTCAACGAAACTAACCAAGCGAAAGATGAAAAAGCAAAGAAATTGGCCGCACAAATGGGTCACTTAGCATAAGACCATACACTCTTTCCGTACGACATTGAGTGGCATCATCAACCTAAACAGAATTTTCATGACGCGTTGAAAATATTAACAGTAAGTATTTTTTTTAAAAATATTTATTAATTTTTTAAAACTTATAAGTTTTGAATATGTAGGATGAATATGATTTGAGTGAAAGCAAAACGGCAAAAACTTATATCAATCATAAGTTGAACAAACTCTGGAGGGGCAATCATAATTCATTGGTCAAACAATATAAGTGAAGAAGAAATTTTAGCAACTCTTCCGTTTTATGCCAGCAAATCTCAATTTCTGAATAAATTGAGACAATCACGATCGGAAAGAGGAATGCTACGTGTATGTATATATTTATTTGATATTAATAAATTTTTAAAAGTTATTATTTCTTATTTTTTAAATTTTCAAGAAATTTCTAAATTAAATGCCACGAACCGAGCGAATCAAATGACACATCATGCTGGTTCAAAAAGATTAGCGCAACGACGTCATAAATTGGTAATTACTATAATTTAATTCATATTTAAAATATTTATATATTAATTCATTATGTTAATATAGAAAGAACACGGAAGGAGTGAAGTCGAAACTTGGTCCGAACTTTACAAATGACATATAAGAGAAACGATAAAGTTTTAAGTCTATTTTTTAAAATTAATTTTTTTTCTATTTTGTTATTTCTATTCTGATATTTTTATTTTAATATTCTTTCTGCATGATGCCACCAAATTTATTAAAAGTCAAGAAGGAAAATCTTGGACTGAAACAGAATCTCTAACTCCAATTGTAAGTTTCATTATTTTTTTATTATACATATTTTCCATTTACTATTTATTTATTTTTAAAATACAACAATTTATAGAAGCGACGGTCAACAAAACGTTCGTCCAAAATAAAAAAATAGGATATTAGGGATTGGAGAAGCTTCTAGTATGGTTAGTACAACCAACGAAAGATGGGCTTCTCCAAAAATACGTCTGCTAATGACGAGCGACAAGTGTTGACGAACAAAGTCAAGAACTTGGAGGTATTTTAAATATATTTTATTCATTTGATTAATTATCGAACTCATTTATGTTTTAATTTTCAGGACAAGTATAACAATAGTCAGAAAGTAATCTCCAAATACAACAAGAAGTTTGAATCAATGACTGCGTCGTTCAGGGAGATGATTAAAGCTTTGAAGGCTTCTAGACTCGATTTGACGAACATTGTGTCTACTTCAAAGTCAAGCATGATACCGTCTACATTAGAATCAGATCATTTAGATTCAAATGACTCAATTTCAGACGAGTGCTGATTTTAATATTTTGTAATTTAGTTTATAAACTTCGAATGTTTAACGATTCTGAATTTAAGTTTCTGTTTAAATAAAAACATCGATTTCAATTTTAAATTCATCGTTACAAATTTCATAATCGTATTTCTAATTAAAATGTAGAAATTAAAAACCTTTTAAAAAAAATTCTACACACATTGTATGGCTGAAATCCGCCATTGAAACTTTTATAATAACGTTTACATGGCGGATTTCCACCATCTATATACGGGGACAACTACTCTCTCTCAGTTATAGATGGTAGATATCCGTCATCTATATACGGGGGCAATCGCCTAATGTATTTATGACGGCGGATTTCCGCCATCTTATGTTCCCAATATCATCGACGGAAATCCACCATCAATATAAATAACCATCATCGATGAATTGACACCAACTTTTTTTGCGCCATATTATACATGGAAGATGTCCACCATCTTAATTATAATTTTTAGTTCCCGCGAAATTTTTCAGATTCAATGGCGAATTTCCGCCATGCATACTTTTTTTGGTGGGAAATGGGAATGAATAATAGATGGCGGATATGGGGTGATTTTGGCGGTTATTATGATGGCGGTCTTTAGATGGTGGATTTCCGCCATTGATCACTTATGACAGCGGAAATCCGCCATCTTAAGACCGCCTGCCATTAGAATGTCAAACGAGCCGAGCTTTTGCTTATAGAGTCAGGCTTGGGCACGACTCGTTAAGGAGTTATCCAGGCTTGGGCTCGCCGAGCCTGGTTTGAGCTCATCTCGTTTGAAGAATTGCCAGGCTCGATGCTCGTGAGCCTGTGTTCGAACTTAACCTGCAGGTTAAAAGAAATAATTTGGAGACATGGGGAATCAAACCCGTGATTTCTCGCATGTTAAGCAAACGTTTTACCATCTGTGCTACATCTCCATTCTCTCTAAATATAATATATTTTTTATTTTTGTATACTTCTTACCGAGCCCACCGAGCTTGGAATTTCCAAGCTAGAGCTCGGCTCGTTAAGCTTAACGAGCTTGAGCTTCAGGCTCGGCTCGTTGGCCTCATGAGCCTAAGCTTAACGAGCTGAGCTCGAGCCCATTGAGCCGAGCTTTATTTGATACCCTAACCTCCATACAAGGTCTTATTTCTTGTAGTGGGTGGAGTATCTAATGGTAAAAATCACGGTCGAGGTCCGAAAGGTCACGGGTGAACTGTCTCAGGTACTCTTCCTCTTGCATCATCCAAGAGTCAAGGTTGCCCGGTTGCCCTGGCTTTCCAGAAGAATCCCTGCGAGACGGGGAACAGACGAAGAAGGGTAGACTCTGCAACACAACCGGGAAACTTGGCCGAAATTTCGCAGGAGTCAAGCTACGCCTAGAAGTGGTGGTCATCCAAACCCTCGGATAAGTTGGATCCTGGATTATCAAGCCCCACCTGCTCACCGTCCGAATGAGGTTTTTTGGGAGAAGAAGCAGGGGTTTCCTCCTTTTTCTCGGTAATCACCTTTCTTCTCTTTTTCCTTCTCCCCTTCCGCGAATCAACAAGGATAACCTCCGGATCGGTATTGGAGCGCACGGGCGAAGGAGACAAGACCGGAGTCTTGTCAGAGGACCCTTTTTTACCCGACCGACGTGGAATATCCCGCCGGTAATCTGACCAAGGCGCCAGAGCCAAATGTTTGTCAAGGGTCCAAGACACCCCTAACTCGCGGACGTCCACGACTCCCCGACGAAAGACTTTAATGAGCACACTGTGCGCGTTTTTCTCCTAAGTCTCCAAGTCAGCCATGGCAACGGGGATCGTGCGGGTCTTCAGCATACTAAGAAGGGCCCAACGGGTCGAGGACGATTGGTCAACATCAATCGGTCCAAGGACTCCCAATGAGACAGAAGAAGCGGCTGCGCCAATTGTAAGAACGGTCGACAAGGCGGTCCAGCAGCAGATACCCCGTACGCCCAAAGATCAGCACATATTGAGGATCCATAGGCATCGAAAGGATCTGGTAGCAAATCCGGAACACGGACAGGGAGGCCTCAACCCCGCACTCCCGGTAGAGCCAGGCAAAGGTTGTGAGACGGTCAATGACGGTCGGAGGAAGCTGCGCGAACATCACTCCGCAGAAGCGCACTACTTTCAGACAAAAAAGAAGAAAAGAGAAACTTCAGCCCAGCATCGGCATATGGAGTGTGATGGGGGTGAAACCCGACCAGTACTCCAAGACGCGCAAGCAAGCGCCAAGCGGGGAACTCCGCGGGAAACCGGACCGGAACTCAAGTGTGCAGAGCTCTGCTTCGCTAGGAATTCTTCTACTCCAAATGACTTGCCTTCAATGAGTGGGGGTGTCCTCTATTTATAGGGGTTCTTATGGGGGTAATCTGGTCATTTGGGCAGTAACCGCCTAACTGCCTAACTGATCAGATCGGGGCCCGAGATCGACTTTCCAAAGATCGACTTTCTGGGGGTCGACTTTCCTGGTGATCGACTTTATTTAGAAGTCGATCCCAGGAAAGTCGATCCTCAGGAAAGTCGATCTTCCTAGGATTCGACTTGGGACCTCCCCAACCCTAGAATAGGTACCTTAACTCATCTTAGGCTATCCGGACTTCTAGTTGCTGGTAGGTTGTGACCAGGTTCGGGATACTGTATCACCAGTACTCCTCCCTCCTCTGCGTATTAGATACTTTGGGATACGTCTTTTAGTATTATGGTCTGTGTGTTGGACCTTGTACTATCAGTATTCCCCCCTCTTTGCGTGCTGGGATGTGGGTTTTTGGTGATGTCCCAGGATGCGAGATCCTCTCTCACCAGTATTCCCCCCTCTCTACGCCTGCGAGGTTGTATCTATGCTTCCACGGAGGTTGTCACGCGCTTTTGCTAACTATTGTCCGGTTCGTCCTAGTCGAAGCATACTCCTTGCGCACATGCCTTGCCTGATTTTCCCCCGGAACCCTGCTTGCCCACCTTGACGCCTTGCCTGAGCTATCTTTTGAGCACTGTTCGGGTTCCCTTCCCTGTGGCGGGTTTTGAGAGTACTCGACCCCCTCATTTTGCTCTCCTTTCTGCGACTGAGGCTGAGTGTGATTCCTCGTCTACCTACGTTCATCCGTAGGTGATGATTATTATTTGAATACTTGCCCCCTCCTTTTGCTCGCCTTTCTGCGACTGAGGCTGAGTGTGATTCCTCGTCTACCTACGTTCATCCGTAGGTGAGGATTATTATTTGAATACTTGCCCCCTCCTTTTGATCGCCTTTCTGCGACTGAGGCTGAGTGTGATTCCTCGTCTACCTACGTTCATCCGTAGGTGGGGATTATTATTTGAATACTTGCCCCCTCCTTTTGCTCGCCTTTCTGCGACTGAGGCTGAGTGCGATTCCTTGTCTACCTACGTTCATCCGTAGGTGAGGTTCACTTTTTGAGCTTATCCCTCGTCTAACCTACGTTCTTCCGTAGGTGAGGTTTGCTCTTGAGTACGTCCCTCGCCTAACCTACATTCTTCCGTAGGTGAGGTTCATTCTTGAACACTTGCCCCCCTCTGTCTACGTTTTTTGTAGAACGGGGTGTGTGTTTAGTCGATGCGTCCCCCGTCTAACCTACGTTCTTCCGTAGGTGGGGTTCGCTTTTGAGTACATCCCTCGTCTAGCTGACGTTCTTCCGTAGGTGAGGTTCACTCTTGAACATTTCCCTCTCTCCACGTTTTTCGTAGAAGGGGTGTCTGTTTAGCCGATGTGTTCCCCGTCTAACCTACGTTCTTCCGTAGGTGGGGTTCACTTTTGAGTACATCCCTCGTCTAACCTACGTTCTTCCGTAGGTGAGGTTCGCTCTTGAGTACATCCCTCGTCTAACCTACGTTCTTCCGTAGGTGAGGTTCACTCTCTTCCTTGGGTGGGATACGCAGCCTGACTCTGTTACCATTAAGACTTTCTCTACCCACGTTCTTCCGTAGGTAGAGTTAATTTGGCGTCCTACTTTGTTACTGCGTCCAGTAATGGTAGGAGTTCAAATATCTTAGTATG